AGTGGGGAAAACATATGCCTGAATTGGCTTGACAAACAACCACCAAAGTCAGTCATATACATATCCTTCGGGACCACGAGTTCTTTTGTAAAGGAACAGACTACAGAACTGGCAGTTGGGATAGAAGAAAGCAAGATCAGATTCATCTGGGTGCTCAGATATGCCGATCGAGGAGATGTCTTTGTGGAAGAAGATCAGAGTCCAGAGCTTCCAGAAGGGTTCGAAGAGAGAACGGAAGGAGAGGGGATGGTGGTGAGAGGGTGGGTACCTCAGGCTGAAATCCTGAAGCACCCATCTACTGGAGGTTTCCTGAGTCATTGTGGGTGGGGTTCATGTTTGGAGAGCATTAGCGCAGGGGTGCCAATAGCAGCATGGCCCATGCACTCCGACCAGCCAAGGAACGCTACACTGGTGACACAGGTGTTGAAGATCGGTTTGGTTGTAAGGTAGTGGTCACACAGAGAAGAATTAATTACAGCACCGGTCATTAAAGAAGCTCTGAGGACACTAATGGCTTCTGAGGAAGGGGAAATGATGAGGAAAAGGGCAGAGGAATTAGGAAGTGCTGTTCGTCAGGCTACTGAGGAAGGTGGAATTTCTCGAAAGGAGTTGGAATCCTTCATCAGCCATATCACTAGATAGACCCATGAACAAAACATGAATTAGAATACGTTTTGAATTGTTTTTAAGTTATCACTTCGGCTACAAGAAGTAAAGATTGTTAATGAAAATTTTGAGTTGGAGTGTTATACTCCCCTCCATACTCGATTCAGCTCTTCATCTTTTTCTTGATCTTCTCTCTATTTCTTTGTGAAAAAACCAACAACATCATCAAGGACAAAGGAACCAAGTTTACCTGTCCTGAACAATGTAAGAAACTTCTTCAATACCATCAAGCGCCTTCAGATGCTGTCTGAGGTACCTTGAGGGTCTTTTGTAATGCTTCAAATTGCTCTTCTATTAGGCACTCCAAGTCATTCTCATCTTCCATTTCGCCATTGAACTCTGACAGAGTTACATACAGTGCACGCTCGACTGATGTTATGAGAGCCCGTGATTGAACGAGGAAAGGGATTGATATTAGATAAGGCATTAAAGGATCAAATTAAAAGATCGAATTTTGCCACCGGTTGACCTCTCTGATTATCTAGTTCAAACCTCCAACAATCACAACTTAAGATACAATAGCTATGCTTAAGCATGCAGTCCATAAATTTGTTCGTTTGTGTCACTGCAGCCAATAAAATTTTTAATTCAACAATTAAATTTTAAAGACATTAATTAAAATATAAAGTTTTTGAAGATTTCATTCAAAAAATGATGTTGACAACACTTTTCTCTTCTACATTTTAGGAGTCATTTAGATTGCTAATGTGGTTTTGACATAAGGTAGAAATTGACCAACCTGCAGGTTGGGTGATGATACGTAGGATGAATCCATAGGATGATTTTATGGGACGAATGACATGGCTTGCCGCATCATATTTTTTTATTTTGACCAGCTCCCTGTGTCTCTCATTTCATCACTCTTATTTCCCTCACTCATTTTCTCCATTTTTGCCTCCAGCTCCTTCTCCATGGTATGACTCGATTCAAAACCGTCTGCATTATTTGAAACTCCATGGCCATTGTTTTTATTTTTTTTTTTTTTTAAAAGAAAACTAAACCCTAAACTATTGGGTGAAATTGAACCCTAAGAAAGGTAATTACGTTTTGCAAAGGAAATGCAAGAGAAAAAAGAGGAAGAATTGGAGAGAGAGAGAAAACATAACCCCATGGTATGACTCTCAATCCCATCTCTATTGTTTAAAATCCTGTGGTCATTGTTTTAAATTTTCAAAGAAATAAAAATAAAAAAACCAAACCCTAACTATTGGGTGAAATTAAACTCTATTTGATGGAATTGAACCTTAGAAATGGTATTCACTCTTTGCAATAAAAGATAAGTGAGAAAAGAGAGGAAGATTTGGGAGAGATAGAAAATGTAAAAAATGCAATGAAGATGAAGGCAAAAACAAGTAAAGAAAGCAAAGGTTAAAGAAGATGATTGTCTGTTATTCAAGACTCTCTTTAAAGTAATATCTTGCTGAGATGACTGTCACCTCATGTTCGTCCTCCGTTTTGGTCCCCTTTTTGTCATCCCAATTGTCATTATTGTCACTAAAATAGTGAGGTGCAAGGCAAATCAAATTAGGAACTAGCCAGGTTCATCTGTTTTATTGTTTGCAACTTGAATTTAATGTATTGGATGAATGAAAATTTACATTTTATACAAAATTTTTTTGTCATTCATTTTAAAATTGTAGTATTTAATGTAACCCTTGAATTTTTAAAATAACCTCTTAAATTTTCAAATATTTGTATAAAAATTAAGAAAATAATTAATACACACTTGATTAATATTTTTTTAATACTTGTTTGATTTAATTATTAAAATATAATATAATTGCAAAAGAAACCAATACTGTTGCATGACCAATGCTAGAAATGGGTGTGGAAATTGTGCTATTCTGAGAGCATTAGGATGTTTGTTTGGCTCCTTTTGAGAAATAGAGTCCTCACTAATGTTGTTTGCTATGAGCATCACTTGGCTACTTCCTTTACATGTCCTCGTTGTGGGGAGGACTCTGAAACAACTTTGCATCTCTTGTAGGATTGCCCTTTTGCTGTACAAGTATAGACCATGTTGGGTTTGGGAGATCATGCTTTTTCTCAATTGAGTTGGCAGCAATGGATTCAACGTTCCTCTCAAAAAGTCTCTAAAGAATGCGTTGGAGATATGTCTTATGACATCCTTTTCCTCTCTGCTATTTGGTAATCAAGGAAGTGTAAGAACCAACTGGTATTTAAGGGAGAACACTTACCAGCGGCTACACTTTGTGATGTAATCTGTGATTATGCACAGGATACATATAAAGCAATGGCTTGCAACATTTTTGTTAAATCCCAAGCTCTGAGATCGATAAGTTGGCAACCACTAGTCCCTCCCTTTTGTAAGCTAAATTCAGATGGGTCTAGATTGTAGGAGATTGGGCTTGCTAGTGCTGGTGGGGTAGTTAGAGACCATTTAGGAGCTTTCATTCAGGGTTTCTCAGTGAATATTGAAATGGTTTCCATTTTCATGGCTGAGTTATGGGGATGTTGAGAAGGGTTAATTTTATGCAGAAGTAGAGGGCTTAAGCAATCAGTTGTGGAAATGGATTCATCATCTGTAATACAGGTCATTAATGGATTGAAAGAACATGACAGTTTGGTGGTGGTTCTTGTATCAAATATTAGAAGGCTCTATGCTGAGTTTGATTCTATTGCTTTTTAACATACACTTTGTTAAGAGAATTTGGTTGCAAATTTCTTGGTTAGAATTGGGCATGGCTTGCCGGTTGGAACCATTGTCTATGATTCTCCACCACGTGGATTGAATATTTTCCTAAAAAGGGATATGACAGGCGCTACTTTTCTCGGCAAAAACCTCCTTTTAACCTTTTACTTTACCAGATTTGTAAGTTTTAACTCATCGCCTTATACTATGACAATTTTAGCTGCTCATCTATTAGAATTGAAGAAAATAGTCCTCACTTTATAATATTTTGTTAGTTCTATTAATTTATTATTAACTCTATTAGTTGACTGTTAATTCTATTAGTTGAAGGTAGGTTTTTGTCAGCTGAAAGTAAGTTTTTTTACCAGTTAACAGTCAGCTAACAGTCAGCTAACAGTCAACTAATAGAATTAATAGTCAGCTAATAGAACTATTTTGTTAACTGACTGTTAACTCTATTAGCTGAAAGTAGATTTTTGTCAACTAATAGTCAACTAATAAAGTTAACAGTCAGTTAACAAAACTATCAAAATTATATAAATGAGGGCTATTTTCTTTAATTTCAATAGGTGAAAGGTTAAAAATATCATAATATAAAGTAATGAACTAAAACTTACAAATTTACTAAAACAAAGAGCTAAAAAGCTAAAAAGCTAAAAAGTCTAAAAGTAGGCTCATGCCACTTTTCTCCTCCATAAGTTAATTTGTTTTTTTTCCCGTATAATAAAAAAAATATAGTATAACATAAATGTAATTTAATTTAATTAGTTTTGATATCATATTAGTATAATCATATTTTTAAGTTTTTTATTTTTAATTTTAAATTAAAAAATAATAATTTTTTAATAAATATATTATATTATATTTTAAATCAAAATGTGTAGTGTTCTAAAAATAAATATAAAAATTTCCCAAACTTACATTGGTCAAAAAAAAAATAATAATAATAATAACA